TTGAGTGATGTATTGAGTTTGTGCTTCCTAAGTAATGAAACGTGAAAAACAGGATGGATTCTTTTCATTGAAATTGGCAGATCAAGTCCGTAAGCTGAATTTGAAACTCTTTTAATAATGGTGAAAGGACCTAGCCATTGATATTCCAGTTTAGGGCTTGGTCTTGTCGTCAAGATGTTCTTTCCATGAAATGGGATTGTTAAAACTGACTACTAGCTTGGTATTAAAATACCAAAGGAAAGTATTTGGTGCAAAGCCCATGGCCTAAGCCCAGGGTATAAAATTGCTGACATAAACTGAACACGTCCTACGGGGTGGCTAGCGGCCTTGTTAAATGAAAAATAACCGTACACAATAATAAAGACATAACCAAACAAAGAAATATAACCAACTACTAACATAACCACAAACACCACAACATAAACCACAAATAAACCACTACCAAATAACAAATAAGAAATACAATAGCTTGTTTTTTTTTTAAAACTCAACAAACTTCTTTAAATGTAAAAGAATAAACATAAGTCCAACATGTCTTGCTTAAAGGGTGGGGAGGAGGGATCAAAAAGTTTATTTGAACCAATATACGATGAGCTTTAACAAGCTAGATAATGATTCTTGAGTTCGAAGACAATCTTTGACAAAAGTGAACACAATGGGAGTTGGTAAAGAGAGAATAAATCAAATGATGTCATATCTGTAATTCGAGAGAAGATATAAGAACCAACCCATCAGTTCCCAGAACCACATGTAATGTAATGTTACCAACTTTCCCACTCCACTAGGTTAATAACGAGCTACCAACAGCGATTAACCAAACCTGATCACCTACGTTCCATTCCGGTGTTTTCCTCACGTGTTTGTCAAACTGCTTCTTCATTGCCTCCTGAGCAATATTAAGGTAATGTGTCAGCTCATTTTGAACATCCTCAATCATTTTCAACCTATCTTCAACAACCAGAATGCATTGTTTGGCACATGGTACTTTATTGAAAGTCGGATTAAACCCGTAATTCGCCTTAAAAGGGGATATACCCATCAATTCATGATCTTGATTATTATAGGGAATTTGGCTGTTGGTAGCAATGCTTCCCAGTTGTCCTGTTGATATTCAACAAAATGTCTCAAGTACTGTTCAATTGACTTGTTAACAATCTTGCTTTGACCATCAGTCCTTGGGTGGTACGCTGTTGATGGATGTAATCGGATTTCTAGACGTCTGTCAAGCTCCTGTGTTATTTGAGAGAGAAATATCGTGCCTCTGTCCGAAATTATACTCTTGGGGGTGCCATGCAACTTCCAAACGTTCTGAATCATAATATCAGCTAAATCATTCGCCGTCATGGTTTCTTTACAAGGAATGAAGTGGGCCATCTTGGTAAGACAGTCAACCACTGTCAAGATACTATCGCATCCCTTTGAAATTGGTAGTTTTGTGATCAGATCATAGGAGATATCAGTCCATGGCCCTGCCGGTATTGGCAGGGGCTCCAAAGTCCCAAATGGTTTTGTTGTATTGGATTTGACTTGTAAGCATGAGTCACATCCATCAACATATCTGTTAATGTAAGCTTTCAGCGATGGCCAATTGAATGAACGGTGTACAAGTCCTAAAGTCTTTGCTCGTCCAGGATGGCCTGCTAATAGACTGTCGTGCCGTCAGTTCAAAGTGAAGGCAGGCATATAAACCAACATAAGAGGGTGGTTGAAAGGTAGACAAGAGAGCAGATAAGACATGAGCACTTGCTTGACCGAGCTTGACTGAGATTTTTTGTTGCTGGCCAATAAGAGGCCTCAGGCACGAGGTAAAGGTAAATAAGGTGCAAGTATACACAGAGCCCTCACAGCTACACACAAAATATACTTTTTTTTGCCCGCCAAAAAAAAGTGTATTTGGTAAAAAAACTATACACGACCAAAGTATACACAACTATACACAAGTTTGAGTACCGTAATTCTGTCAAATCATGGAATGGGGGCATTAGTCCCAGCCAAACTACAAAGGGTATCATGCAAGAACTCGTGTATAAGGCGCAAGCCCCCCCTCCACAGGCTCTGGATGTTAGGGGGGCTTGCGTTAAGCTAGGATGGTTTTAGATATGTTTAGGGGACTTTATATCTGCGTAAGACGGAAGCACCACCCCTTGCACCACCTGGTTAATGCACAGGACGGTATCAGGTATGTACAGTCAATTTCATAAAGGTTGAAATTGAGTCGTTTTGAAAATTGACAGGTGGTCCGTGCGCCACCTGTGACAGGTCTCAAATATGCATACAAAAATGCTAATCTCCTGACCTTGATGTCAGTAGGGTCATCTGGTTTGATCTTGACTTTATACGCTTTGAATTGAGCGTTAAAGTACTTGATCATCTCAGGAATCGTCTTTTCACTACCAGCTATATTTTCTGGGTCAAGCTGAGTAAGCGTGATGGAATGATCAGACTTGGCCCTAGTAGTTGGTTGGGTCCTAGGATTGGGGCCGGTTGATTGTGGTTGTTGTGGTTGTTGCGTTCCAGGAGCATGCTTGGATGCTGCTAACGCATACAACTTGCCGGAAGGAGTTTGGTCTTTTGGCTTGTGACCGTTGGATATTGGGCCCAGTTTTGCCAGGTGCTTGACTACCACGTCAAGTTTATCTGAGATGGTTGAGACCCAAAAGTCAAACTGAGAAGAGGGGGAGATGGAGGGGTTGGGGACGGTCTGAAGACCTGGCTCAAAGACTATGCGCCTAGCCTTGTTTATACTAGCTTGTTTTTGAATTAAACCCACCAAGAGTAGAATGTCGGCCGCTGAGTCAACATCTACCTTGACTGATTTGCTGGTCTTGAGTTTTGGGATTAAGGTAGCTTTCAATACCTCAATTAGACGCTTGATGAGGACCATCAATGGCTTATATGCCACATCTGAACCCCCTGGAAAGAGTTGGGCAATACACGCCAATCTTGGGGTTCCAGAAATTTTGTCAACCTCATCAAGGGTGCTTAGGATTGGGCCCGCCGTACGAGTTCTTTTCCTTGATTTATCCAAAGGAGTGGTGGTGGTGGATGTCGGTCCGATTAACACCTCTTGGGTGATGTCTGTCTTCTGCAGACCAGACGGGGGACGAGGGGTGAGTGTGAGTGCCTTGGATTGACCCATCAGGTCAGGCACCACCTCCGCATTGTTGATCATGGACTGATCGTCCAGGGGAGCTAAGACGTCCGGCCGATCTGGATCCAGCAGACCACTATCCATGTGTTTGTCCATCTAAAGACCAACCTAGGAACTTAGAACAATGAGTGATGAATGAGAGGAGATTGAAGATTGAAGAGAAAGGTGAGTTGAAAAGTTAGGATAACAAGGAAAAATCTGTGGATGACTGCTTGCGCAGTCACGGAGGTAGTCACGTGATCAAATACAAAAATTTGGTTTGGGACAGAATCCTCCACTCAATCTGGATATTTGCAAGTCTTGTAGGCTTAAGTGCACACCGTTTCATGGGCTTTGTCCGTGATTGATGAAGCCCGACCAAAGGGTTGTTTCAGGACCCCGGTATGCTCCTATAAAGGGTAGTCAGCTGGAAAAGTGCCTGAGATGTTCCTTTTGAGCTCCCGTGGCGTTATGCTTCATGGGATATGAGCAGGTGTTATTGTTTCTGCCTGTTTTCGCCATATGTTATTGCCGTCCTCTTGTTCCTGCGACATGTTGATTTCAACTTTAGTGCGTAAGACCGGGATCGAGCTTGATCAAGAGCTAGAAGAGATATCAGAAATGTTTTAAAGACAATTGCATTGCTTTATGAATTGTCAATAATCTCTATCTTCCTGATCAAAGCGATGTCAACCTCCTCGAGCACTGCCAAAGAGAGATTGCCTG